TCTGAAATCCAATTTACCATTATATTAATGGTAACAAAATGAGAATGGTCATTCATTGTCTTTCTCAAATGTTTAAGGTAAAGATGGTTGTAAGGAAATGATCGCAATCCTGTTGTAGCATTGTGTATCGCATATCATTACACAAGGCAGGCAAGGCGAGTAGAACTCCCATTAAATGTGACATACTAAAACACCCAAGTGAAAGTACATGAAGCAAAAGTTAATGTGTTCTGTGTACTAAGTACCTTTTTGTCCAACAAAGATGATCTGGTGAAATAAAGCTAATATGAAAAAAGATCTGCAGAAAGACAGGCAAAAAGGTGAAAACAATGTTAACCAGTCTAATAGATTACAATTATACATGAAGAAAAGTAAGGTTAAATTTTTCAAAAAACAAGATGTATGTATTGTATTTGTGATATTTAGACAGTTGTCCTTAAACAAGAAGACTAGAATGTATAACCATTTGCTGATCTCATAGCAAAGGCAGCATATTCTCCTCAGTTAATTGAAGGCCTTGAGTGTTGTTTGGTCATGTGATATGTGTAGTAACATTTTCATTAAGAAAATTAAGTAGCACTTACTTCCTGATATTTCCAAGGCGCAGTACATAAAAAAAAAACATAGGAAAGGACGAAAGAAAAGTGAAATTCATCGTTAACTACACGATCGTGCCACATCATGTTAAAAAAAAAAAAAGAACCAAAAAAAGAAAAAAGGCATAGAACAGAAGGGAAATTATTGAGTTATTTCCTATACAATGTAAGATAATTAATTAAATGGCATTCACCAGTGATTACACGGACGTACATCTTAAAAAAAAGCAGCATAGAAAAGTGGAGAAAGTATAAAGTTATTTCCTATGCAATGTCAGAAAATTAATCAAATTTGTTTGAATACTTTCCATTTTAAGAGGAGGAAACACACTCGGTTTTTTTCTTTTTTTTTCCCCTACATTCGTTCAACGTTGTCAGAAGAGTATATTCTCTTGACGTGGTATATGCACTTTTTATACTCCCCTGAGTTTAGTAATGAATCCAAAGCATTGTGAAAGACGTCAAATTTCACTCATTTTCAATTCTTGATTTCAACGCTAAATGACATGAGGAGAACATTTCGAATGAATTCAGGTGAATGTTTGGTATACTTGGGACGGTCCAAAATTTGTTTTGAAAGAAAGAAAGGTTTGAAACAGATTCCACGCCCATACACGTAAATTCCCCAAGTAACTAGCTGTGAGGCTTTTCTTTGACAAAGTGTGATTAACATTGTACTGAAACAGTTAAAGAAAAGTATAAATGAAATAGAATATAAGGAAATGATTAAATAAGCGAATGCATGAAGCAAATAAATGTAAAAAGATAAAAAGAGAGAACACTTACGCTGAGCTATCATTTCCACGTGGATGATTCGAAAATGATAAAAAGAAAGAAAGAAAATAATCTCAAATTCAATATATGTATTTAGTAGCTAAGATTTGCTCCACTCCTGGCTTTTGCACATTAAAACAAACAAATACAATAACATCGACTTAAATGGCAGCTGAACTGAGAGAATCATCCTATGTAGTCAGTAGATATAACTACAGGAACAGTCTTCATTTTCTCTATCTGGTCCATATTCAGTACATAATTATTATTATTTAACAACTAAAGAAAGAAAGGAGGAAAGAAAGAAAGAAAGAAAGAAAGCGATCATAGTAATAAAACAAACTTACGGCACTGATGTTCATCTGAGTTATCACCACAGTTATCTCCGTCCCAACAACGCTTCCATTTACTAAGACACTTTCCATTTGCACAGGTGAACTCATAGTTCTCACACTTTCCTGTAGAATAATGCAAATAACATCGATTAAAAGACAAGAATATTGAGCCTGTGCATCGATGGAAATGGAGAGCACTCACATATCCGAAAACAATCCAAATGAATTAAACCAAAGACCCATTACTTGGAGCGTTCAACTCCCACACTGAGCCTATGTCAAGGCATTTTTACAGAACGGTTTATTTCATACTATCTTTTCCAGGGAAATACTTAGAATTTAACTACTAGCTAATCGTAATTGGTCGAATAGCTTACGTGGCCGGCCGGGGAATCCCATACCGCGGTAATTCAAACTAAAAATAGATTTTTCTATTGAAGACATCGTGACAAAACAAAGGTCAGTTGAACGTTCGAAGAAATGGCTCCTGATTAAACATGTTCCTTAGTTGTCAAGTCAAAACTTGGTGGTTGGATCATAATGCAACTTTCAGCTTGAACCCTCCTCCCCCCTCCCCCCCCC